GGGGCAGGATGCGCAACTTCTGGGGCAGGGCTCGAGGGCGTTTGGGGGAGGCGGGGGGGGGGGGGGGGGGGGGAGGGGGCGCGGGTCCGCCAGGTGGCGCGCGCGCCGCCGAGGCGCTGCCGCCGAGCCAAGACGTCCAGCTCTGGAAGCTCGAAAGCTAGCAGCCCCAGCTCCAGTGAGCACCGCCGCCCAGCGCCTGGGGACTCACCAGGCGCAGCATGGGTGCAGGCAGGGTTCGATCAGATGTTCGAGCAGGACGGCCTCGGGGGAGGCCCAGTCGGTCTGCCCAGCGAGGCGAGGGCAAGTGAGGCAGGGGAGGCACAGGAGGCAAAGGCGGCAGGGGAGGCTAAGGAGGCAGAGGAGGCAGAGGTGGCAAAGAAGGCAAGGAAGGCAGAGGAAGCAGAGGAGGCAGAGGAGGCAGAGGTTGCAGAGGGGGCGATCGACGTCAGCTACGAGCGTCCAAGAGACGCAGTGGACCCAGACTCCGATGACGAGCCCTTGGCGCAGATTGCCCAGGCCCGCGTCGCTTTGTCCATGCATCTTTCCCTGACATCAACCCCCGTCCAAGCCCAGAATAGCGCGCGTGCGGTCCTCTCCTGCACTCTCATCCCCTAGCGTTGTTCTCTATGCTACACCCCCCCGTGCGGCAGGCGAAAGCGCTGAGCATGGAGTCGCTGAAGGAGGAGCAGGACAGGTTACTGCGCGAGGTACAAGGCAAGGACGGACAGGGACAACCAACACCGCGGGGACGGGGCTAACACTGAGTGGTGGAGGGACGGCTCGGCTGGAATGGTATGAGAGAAAGTGGAATCTAACTTATACACACTTTTCTACGCAATTTCTACGCGTAGAAATTGCGTAGATGTTACGATGATACGTCGTATGCGCGCGTAGTGTTTAGTAAGCAGGTTGCAGTGCATATGAGAGGTTGATGAGAGCAGATGGGAGCAGGTTTCGCGCATTCTCATTCTTGCGTGGCCCAGGACGAGACGAGGAGCTCAGCCCACAGCCAGCTCGAGCCCTCAGCCAACGAGTCGCCGTGTGTCCCTGAAGGGGGGCCTCCCGCACCAGCCTTTGTAGCCTCGTCGTCGTCAGTGTCCGCGCCCATCGGGGGTCACCGCTCGATGGGCAGCATCGCTTCTCATCGCGAGCCGATCGGGAAGGCCAGCCTGCTGTTCTCGAACCCCCATCCCGAGAGCAATGAGGAACTCATCCAGGCCATCGACAATGATATTGGGGCCATCAATGACGAGCTGCAGAGCCACGCCAACCCAGACGAGCCCACCGTGGAACATATGAACGTGAGGCTGAGCCAATTCTTCCAAGCAGGGCTCGTGCAGAAGTTGACGGCGCTGAAGAAGGCCGACCCGAACTTCGACTACGATGACAAGCGGCATTCGAACGATTCGGACGGCCTCAATGCTAAGGACAAGCAGGAGAAGAGTTTCTACGGGGAGATGGAGAAGCAGAACTACATGTTCAGCACAGAGACCAAGGCAAGAAACGCTGCGTCGGGGCGTTGGAGGCGCGCCCTGGACGCGTCGGAAGAACTGAGGAAGCAATACGCGAAGGAGAAGGGCTGGATGAACCAGCGAAGGTTCAGGCGAGATTGGCTGATGGGCAAGCACACGGAGTGGAAGGAGTCCGTGAAGCACATCCTCGTGGAATCGAACGAGAAAGAGGACAAGAAGAAAGGAGAATACGTCACGCTGGTGGGGCTTGCGTGGCTGAAAGGTGGCGGTACCTCTGGCCTCCGCCTGGCGCTGAAGCACGCGTCGAACGCGATGCTGCTCGGTGGGATCTGGACCCGCTGGGGCGACATGGCAGAGACTGTGGAGTACCTGAACATCCGCCATCAGCTCATCGAGTCATTCAGGAAGCAGTGTATTAAACACACGGAGTGGGTGTGCCCAAGCTCGGCGACCGTCGAGGAGGCAGACGCTCGCGCGGCGCGAGATGAGGGAGGCGGCGGCGACGAGGCAGGGGAGGCGCCTGCCAAGGGCGAGAAGGGCGAGCAGAAGGACAATACAGACAAGAAAGACAAGTCGGACAAAAAGGATAAGAAAGAGAAACCATAAACATATAAGAAGGAGACAAAAGAAACGGAGGCCACTGAGGAGGAGGGTAGGAAGCGCACGAAGGATGGCGAGGAGGTGAGGGCCGATGGAAAGAATGACAAAAAAGGAAACACGAGAAGGGTGACGGTGGTCAGGATGAGGATTCGCCTGTGGTGCCCGACGTCAAAAAAAACCGAAGACTTCTACGCCTGAGTGTGTGACCAAGTTCAAGAAGCTGAAGGACAGCTATGATTGGTGCATGGCACAGCACGCCAAGCTCGACGGGCTCCTCAAGCTCGATGCGGGATGGGAGGGTGTGGAGAGGATGCGCGAGAGCATGGAAGATGCCATGAAAGAGGCGACGCGGGGCGGGGTTATGCTGACGACGGCGCCGACGACGCTGGGGATGGGGATGACGGGGAGGACGACGCGGCAATGCGAGGAGGTATGAGAGGTGATGCAGGCACGGAGGCGAACGTGAATATGCTGGGAGGCGGGGAGGGGGGGAATGCCGATCCCAGTCCTTCAGGTGACCGACAAGTGCCAGAAGCACAACCTCTCGTTGCTGATGACGATCGAGGCCTCGAAATACAAGAAGCAGGTTTGGGCTCTCTGATTTGCGACTGCACCCGTCTAGCAGCTCGCGTGCGCACTATCGATGTTCATGATACGTATCGTGCGTTGTTTGTTTTGTTGTGTATAGAGTTTCGAATGCCAGTGAGGCGACTTGCGATAGTCCGACCTTTCGACGATTCGGATGGCGACGAGGGACGTGGATACTGGGGTGCACGGTGCGAGTTCAGCGCCGACGGTCCGACGTGAGCGTGACGCCAGGTGAGCGCCAAGACATACGACGCCGAGGTCCAGCTGGCGAACGGCGCGCTGACCGCGTGCGTGCAGACCCTGTCGCCCGAGATTCGTATCCTGATGAACCAGAAGATGGCGAGGGATGATGAGAGGAGGAGGCTGCAGCAGGAGGAGCAGGCAAAGAAGGACAAGGTGAGCGGCGCCAGCGCGAAGAAGAAGAAGAAGAAGAAAGAGGCGAAGAAGGCACAGGGGGGCAGGAAGAAGGCGGCCAAGAAGGTGTCTGACTCCGATTAGGCATCCATTGTGCTTTCGAGATTGCATGGGTATGGGGCTTCGAAATAGGGGGGGCGATGTGGGGGAGATGGGGAGGGGGTCGGCATGTCAGACTGCCCCATCCCTCATTCAATCCAGAAAGCTCGCTGGCCGCGTCGGCAAGCTTACAGGTAGTGCGGCAGTTGCTTTATGGTACCCTCCCCTGCTAGCATAACGAAGGTCGAAGTTGCCATCGGTTGGAAAGTAGATCCAGTTAGGAAGTGGATCCAGCTAGTAAGTATATCCAGCTAGGAAGTGGATCCAGCCAGAAAGTGAATCCAGCTTGACAGTGGATCCAACCAGAACGTGGATCCAGTGTGAAAGTGGATCCAGCCCTCCCCCCCCCTTCCTCCCCCTCCCTCCCCTCCTCCTCCCCCCCCTCCCCCCCCTCCCCCCCCCATCCATCCTCGCTCCTCCTCCTCCCTCCTCGTATCCAACCGCGGCGGGATCTCGACCCGCGCTCCGGCGATCGCGCGAGAGAATTCCTCCTGGGAACCGTTCCGGGCACGGGGAACATTTATAGGCAGCGTGTCTGAGGACGAAATTTTTAAAAATATACGAAAAACGCGGAAATATTCAGGAATTCTCAAAAATCCTGCAAGGTACTGGAGCCGGGGAGCCGGAACCCGCCGTGTAAATTGCGTATAGTTTTCGTATATATCTGGACACCAATGACACCGCATAGATGTTCAAAAACGATATATTATATATAATATACATATACGTGTGTGTGTGTGTGTGTGTGTGTGTGTGTGTGTGTGTGTGTGTGTGAAAAAAACTCACTTTTTTGCTACACAACATGCACCGTATAGAAGCCGTATATATTTCGTATATATTTCAAATAGATTTGAGGAAGCCTAGCGGGGTAGGATTGGAAGTGATCCCTGAGCGCGGGCGAGGTCGGCGCGCCAGTTTCGAGGGGGGCTCTGCCCCGCGGCGAGCGCTCGGAGCACGATTCAAAGGGCATGGCGAGATCTGGATCCAGATCTTCGTGCGGACCCATATCCATGGAACCAGGTTGCGCTCAGGACCCAGATTCCTGGATGCAGATCCCTGGGGTCAGATCCTCTGATCAAGGTCTGGATCCAGATCTGCGCACGGACCGCACAGTTAGCATGAAAGCAGGGGGTGGGTGCCATGCATGGGTCGGCGGCGCTCGGTTGCAGGCCTGGGCCAGGGGAGCTGCCTTTCTCTGTGTATATACACGCCCCCGTCTTAGGCGCGCACCTCTCCCCTACATGATCCACCGCCCTTCTCGAGCGACCATAACATTGAGAGGGGGCAGGAAAGTGGTAGGAGGTGTTGTGATGGGGGGCAGGGGAGCTGTGCCCGCAGTTGCATGCCTACGTGTCTACAGCTACTCTTCTCCATCACTTTCTCCGCACGTGCTCGCCGCGCCGAGTGAAGGCTGGGGATGTCGCTACAGGCTTGGACAGCGTGCCCGAACAGGTTGGGGAGCCGACCCCCTGAGCTCCCCAAGTCGCGCCTGGTTGGGGAGCATGCCGCCGCAACTCCCCAACAACAACGGGGGAAGAGGAGGAGGAGGAGGAGGAGGAGGAGGAGGAGGAGGAGGAGGAGGAGGAGGAGGAGGGGAGGAGGAGGAGGAGGAGGAGGGGGAGGAGGAGGAGGAGGAGGAGGAGGAGGAGGAGGAGGAGGGAAGGAGGAGGGACGTGCGGGAGGGGAAGGTGGAGGAAGGAGGAGGAGGAGGAGGAGCAGCAGCAGCAGCAGCAGGATGAGGATACGGAAGAGGAACAGGAGGAGGAGGAGGAGGAGGAGGAGGAGGATCATGCTGGATCATGCTGCGATGCCACCCACGTGGCCAGTTCAGTCGCTGTCACCGCTGTCGACGCCCCCGCCGCCCAACCCCTGCACACGAGCACCAGCGAGCACTGTCTGCCCCTGACCCTGGGCTCCGAGCTGGGCGGCGGTCTCCTCACACTCATTCACCACACACAAGCGGGCGGCGGCGGCAGCGAAGGCAGCAGCCGCGTCCTCGCCCACGGGTGGGGCGTCCTCGCAGACCGACATCAGGTTGGCCAGCTCTCCGACAGGGCGATCGGAGGAGCGGGCCACATACTCATCGAAACTGGGCCTCTCCACCAGTGGCCTATCGGCTCCGCCCACACCCCCAGAGCTTCCACGAGGGGGGGTCGGGAGGGCTCTCGCAGCAGCGTCCAGCGCCGCCGCCTCACGCAAGGCCACTGGTGGGCCCCGATAAGACGGAAAAACACCCTTTTTAATTCGCCTGAGGTTCTCGCCCCCCTTGCGGGTGGGGGGGGCGCACTCCTTCTGAAGCCGCCGACCGTCTGTCGTGGCGGTGAAACCGCAACGCTGACAAAATGTCAGCCCAAACGCACACATCCTGGCAAGGCGGTGGCTGGGGTGAAGCTTCACCGCGCCACACCACGCCTCACCCGAGATCGCCTCGAAACCCTCACCAAACTCAGGGCTCAGACCCAGCATGCCAGGCGAATCCGACGGCGACGGGGTCGGGACGCGGCACGGGGTCGAGGCGAAAGTGAGCACTTGGCTCCTCGGGACAATCACCTTGCAGACGTTGCAACGCCAGCGACCAGCGAACGGGCGAAGCTTGTGCGCACTCTCGCCGATCGCCTGGACAAGCTTAGTGGGCTTGCGGGCCTTGGGCGCTGGCGGAGCTCTGACCCCTTCCCAAGGTTCAACCTCGAGCGCCAGCATCATAGCCCTTCTGGCCCTCCTACGCACCAGTGCCGCCGTCGTGTCCCACAGGTCGGTCCGAGGGGGAGGGGCCACAACACACCACTCCCAGGACCACTGGGCCACCACCCCCGCATAGGCGTCGGCACTGGCGTTGCCCTGGCACATAAAAATATCAAAAAGGGAGGTTACAGACTGCACATTTTCCTCCGAGTGGGAGGGCGTCCAGGAAAGCGAAACCTCCCCAGGGCCACGGGAGCGGAGAGCCCGAGCAGCACGAACCCACAGGTCCCCGTTCGGGCCCCGAGGGGAGGAGGCACGGCCACCGTGCCAATCAGAAATCAAACTCTTGCAGTCGGTAACATAGCATATCGGACCGTGCGTGTGCTCCAGTGCGAGACAGAAGGCCTGCAGCTCTGCTCTAGGAACCGCTTGGCGACGGCCTGACAAAACCTGTCCTACACCACACTGAGGCACCCAAGAGTTCGGCGCTGAGGGGTCCTGGCTCATCATCACCACGGCAGACCCACATCGCCTACGTCTGGGGTCCGCGCTGAACTCGCCCCCAGATCCGTCACCAAAGATAAACACAGGGGGGCCTCCAGGCTCCGAGCAAAAATCGCCCAGACGGCCATCACCCAGAAGGACCTCCTGGGCCGTTTCCGCAGTCTCAACAAACCTGGGCACCGTGAGGTCCTTCGAGGGCACTCCCCTAAGCCACAAAGCAGGCTGGGCCTCAAAGCCCGCGAGGGCCTGGGGGGCCAAAAAATCCGTTTTTGAAAAGTCATCGTGTCCGCAGTTGGCTGGGCATAGCCAAATGCGATGAACTAAAGTCTCAGGCTGCTCCCTGCATCTGGGGCACAGCGGCTGGCAGGAATACCCTGCAGCTCTCTGCCGCTCACGAGTCCACTGGCCCCCCGAGATGACGGCAATGTCTGCGGCCCACTCGTCGAAATTGGACCTGGCAGCCAGGCGGTTCAGCTCAATCTGCACCGTCGTCATGTCCGCGCCAGCTGTCAGATCCTCACCTGCTTCGTGGTGGGCCGCTTCCTTCCACTGCAGCTGGACACAATCATCCATGAAGGCGCCAAGCATGTCTTCAAAATGCGAAGGCACCGCTGAAGAGAACTGCTCGTCACCAAAAGCAGGAAACAGCCAATCATCGATGGTTCCATCAGCCAATGGGCGCGACCAGACATCGGGGCTCTGTGGGTCCCAGCCAACCTGCAAGAGCGTGGCCTGCGCCGCGGCGATGGGGCCGCGCACATCCTTCCACTTCGCCACAAGTCTCTCAGCAGAGCCACGCCGTAGCTTCGCCAGAGTGATCGGCCACATCTTGCGTATGCGAGGATGGAGCATCGGCTGGGAGAGCCACAGCGCAATCCACTCCTTGATCACCTGCTTCCTCAGATCAATGCCAAGATCAGAAAGCCCAAACACCGCTTGTAATACAGAATTCAAGCACCTGCCACGCTTCGTCCCAGCCACACTCGCAGCAGCATCACGCCTCAGAGCCAAGAGAGAAGAAGGAGGAGCGCCCATAATCTGATGGCCAAAGACTGCAGCAGGTAACACTCCAGTGCTGAAGAGCTTCTTGGTGATGAACCTCGTCTTAGGTAGTTGCCTCAAACGCATAACTCTTTGCTGCCTCCGCCGAGCCTGTGCACGTCGTTTCACCATCCGCGGTGCCATGCGCCGACGCCCTGCAGCAGCGTCAGAGCCCAAGTCAACAGTTGAGCGCACGAACTGAACTGGGATACCTTTACGAGCCAGCCGTCTTTGTAACTCCTCGCCAATCTCGTCAGTGCTGGCAACAAGCTTCGTTTTGTCAGAAATCTTCAGCCTGAGCTTCTTGAGCCCCATGGCCATGGCGTCGGCAGAAGCATCCAAATTATCAATCACCTGCTGCTTTTTCCCCTCAGCACGACCGACGATATCATCAATATAGCTCCACAATCCAGTCGGGGGACACGCACGGTGAACCTCCTCCAGAAGCTGATGGAGCATAACCTTGGCGAGCGGCACACCATGTCCAGAGCCAGCGACGATCGAACGTGAAGTCACCAAGGCGTCCGAAATCATCTTGCCCTTCTTCAGAAGTCTGGGAGAAGAGTAAAGGCCCACTTCCAATAAAAGGATGATAGCTGGAAAGCCAATATTCAAGCCTGCCTGCATCAGCAACGCAAAGGACACAGAGTCATAGAACTTGGTCAGATCCAAGAAAAGTGTCGCATGCTCAAAAGACAGGGCATTGGCTCCCTCATCCATCACGGCTCTGATCAATGCCGCTCTGAGTGCTGAAGAACCAGCAATTGCAGTGCCCCAAAAAGCAGATTGGGCAGCTGACCATTCACCTGAGTGCTTCGCGCGCACCTTGGACCAAATTTTGTGCGGCGCCGGGACAAGCCCCAACACTCTGTTGCCTCCAGCTTCCTTGGGGGTAGCAGCACCCAGGACCGCGCTGAGGGCCGACGGCCAGGCGCCAGCCTGCTCAATACTGTTCAATATATTCACAAGACACTGCCTTGCCACCAAGGGCTGCCGCTGAAAATCCATGGGGTTCAGCACGCCCACGCCCTTCGCCTTCTTCGCTGGTAGCGAGGGCAGCACAGCATCCACGTCCATGATGGTGATGGCAGGAAGTGGGTTGTCTCGCGCAGCTGAGAGGCACTGGTCCATCATATACAAAATATCTGCAGGCTGGTCGACAGGATCATGCCACATCACATTCCATTCAGAAGCCGAAGTCTGAAGCATCGTCTGCTTGTCCGTGGTGATGGCACCTGACGCATCGCATCCCTCCCACTCCAAGGGCGGGACCTGCTTCACATGCCGATGTACAGCACCAGGCTTGGATGACCAGGTATCCTTAACCCACTTAACAAAGGACGAGCGCGAAGCCAACAAGGCCCGTGAAGTCGCCGAGTCCGCCCACCTACGAGTGGTGTCCACCAGAGAAGTAAGCTGGCCAACAGGAACACGATCCAAGTCGGCGGCCATTGCTTTCCACAAGTCGATCTCCTGCGCGGTGGACTTCTTGCCAAAATACTCGACCGTCTTGTCATCAGGCAAGGCTCCAATCCTGGCCTGTACTTCCCGCGCACAATAGGCAGCCTGATCAGGACCAGCCCCATTCACACGAAGGGCAGCATGCCGAAATAACAAAGTGCTGACCACGCCCCACCACTCAGCCTGCTCGTTCTTCATGTGAGCACGCCCTGGCGAGGGGGTGACCTTGGCCCAATAGTAAGCAGGGCCGCGCGCCCGACCTGAGAACTGCATCCAAGTGCTGGGCTCGACCTGCTCATGAATCAAAGTGGCACGCTCCAATGTAGAAATCCAAGCAGAGTAAGACTCATCCAGCCGCGAACGCTCCTCAGACTGCCATTCAAAGACAAAGTGCTGACTGCGGGCATAAGCTGCAACTTTGCCGCGGGCACCCTCTGGCTGATCATCAAACGGCTGGGGGAGGCCCTCCCAATGCACCTGCGTCTGAGCTTCAAACCAAGTGTCCTCAGGAATGGCAAAAGAAACTGTGGACTCTGGCGGAGGTGCAGGCGGCACCAGCTCGTCGAAGCCCTCCTGGAACTCGATAGGGAGCGCCTGCATACGCCTCTGCCTCTACTCCTCTCTCCTTCTGGACCGCTTGCTCTCAGGGTCAGGAACTGCAACAGGTCTGTCCCGAACGGGAAGAGGCTTGGGCACTGCCAAATGCTTATACCATCGCTGAGATCGGGCGGCCTTCACAGTAACCACCACTCCACAATGTGTCTTCCATGGCACTCGCAACTCAGCTCGAAGCGTCAACTCAGGACAGCCCACACTGGCAAGACCATAATCATACATGCGCCCAGGCCCTTTGTCGCAGGTCGCCCGGCAAGGCGGCGTCACCACGACTGCTCCGAGCTTCTGGGGCCAGCCAGTACCTCGCAAGGCCTCGGGCTCGATGTTCCAGTCCGCCATGACCAGCCAGGGATCCGCGAGCGCACGCGTGAAAGACCCGAGCGCCACCAGCACATCATGGTTCCAGCCCTTCACACCGAGGCCCGGCTGGAGGTAGGCAGCGATCAAGATCAGGTTGCCGCCCTTGGTGTGAATCACCGTCGGCGCGAAGCCACGGCAAGGGTCAAGGCGCCCCGCAGCGAGCGCCGTACGTCGAGCACTCTCAAAGCTCGACGTCGCCATATGTTTCTTTGCCAGAATCCACTCACCACCAGACAAGCCAGCCTCCGACTTGCCCGAGGGGCGGGCGGCCGTGTAAGCCAGCCGCCAGCCGTCCTTGTCGATCGCCTGGCAGATGTCTGGCATGTCCTTTTCACCTTTGTGCGTCTCAACGAGGGCCACAATGCTGCGCTCCTGCTCCTGAGCAATGAACCGTGCAGCCTGTCGGCCCCACTCCGTAATGTTGCCGAAGAAGATGTCCAACGACTTGTCGTCATCAGACTCTGAATGAGGTACTCCTGCAGCTTCCCCCCTGCAGGGCGGGGAGCAAGTGATGCTAAACACGGCCTGCACCAGCACCAGCAGCAGCAGCGCCCTTGCCAGCACCCGCCTTGCCGCCTTTGCCAGCGCCAGCAGCCTTGCAGACCGCGGCCGCGCGCGCCTGAGACTGGGCGCCGCTCTTGATGCGCTCCAGCATGGCCTTCTGGTCGCTCTCCTGCACCACGACCTTCGCCTTGCTGGGCCCAGCAGCGGCGGCCGCGGCGCCAGGCGCCGCAGCGGCACCTGAGCCAGCCGCTGGCGCGCCCTCGGCGCTGCCGCCAGCCACCGCCTCGCCGTCGGCGCCGCGCTTGCGCCGCTTGGCCGCCGCCGCCGTGTGCGCCGACCTCGTACGCTCCAGCAGATCCTGGAACTCCTTCTGCTTGGCGTCGACCAGCTGGGTGACCTCCTCCAGCTGCTTCTGGAACTCCTCCAGCGCCTTCCTGTCGGACTCCTCCAGCTCCTCGAGGCACTCGAACAGCCCAGGGTCCAGGACGAAGCCCGACTGCTTGGTGGCCGCCTCGGGCGGGTTCGCCGCCTCCTGCACCTCCAAGCGATACAGATCGGCAGCCAAGACAGCGTCCGCCGCCTCGTCGAACTTGGCCTGGTCCCTCTCGAGCTGGAGGCGGGACTGCTCCAGCTTCGTGGCGGCCTTCTCCAGGGCCTCCTGCTTGCGGGAGCAATCCGCCGTAGCCTCCTTGAGCAGCGCGTGCTGGGGCTTGGGCGGCGGCGCAGGGACCGCCGCCAGCTTCTGGGACGCCAGGGTGCTGAACTCCGTCGCCAGGCGCGCAGCATCTGGGTCCCCATCGAGCCCTGCACCAGCGAGAGCCTTCGACAGGTAGTCCCCGAAGTTGGCGAGAGACGGCAGGGACTTCGCATGGTCGTGCCGCCCACCGCCCGAGGACCACGGCGCCCACCACGTGCCGCTCGTCGTCGTACTCCAGCCAGGCTGGGGGGTGTCGCATACCGTACACACCCCTTTCTGCTTCTTGAGCCTCCAGTTCCACGCCCAGTTGCCACACTGCACGCAAACGGAGAAGCCCTGCTTGCCATACTGGACCATCCGCTCCAGCAGGAGCTCACAAAGTATGCTCCAACAGGAGCTCACAAAATCACTTCAGACTGGCTCGGGAAACAGAGCTATCCCAGTTTGGCACGGAGGCGCGGAGCCCCCAAGTGCATCAGCCTTGAGCCAAAATGGCTACGGAAGGGGGGAGGAGGAGGAGGAGAGGAGGAGGAGGAGGAGGAGGAGAGGAGGAGGAGGAGGAGGAGGAGGAGGAGGGAGGAGGAGGAGGGAGGAGGAGGAGGAGGAGGAGGAGGAGGAGGAGGAAGAGGAGGAGGAGGAGCCCCTCTCGGCAGCCGCACAGATTGCCAGAGGTCGCCCCGCCGAAGGGTCAGTGGTACGTCGGGCCTTCGGGTCATGGCTCGGGCCTCCGGCGGCCGCCCGGGAGGCTTCGGGCACCCCAGGGGCGCTCTCGGCGAGGCGCAGCTGCTGGAACGCATCCCGAGGCAGGCCACCCTCCAGGAAGCGGCGACAACGTCCAGAAGGGTCAAGGGTCGAAGTCGCGTGCCCCGAGGAGGAGGAGGAGGAGGAGGAGGAGGAGGAGGAGGAGGAGGAGGAGGGTGAGGACGAGGAGGGGGAGGAGGGGGAGGAGGGGGAGGGGGAGAGAGGAGGAGGGGGCGGAGAGCGGGGATGGGGAGGGGTGGTGTCGGGGAGTGGGGCGAAAGGTCTGTCTAACGTGTGCCACTTCCTCTTCCTCCTCCTTCTCCTCCTCCTCCTACTCCTCCTCCTCCTTCTCCTCCCCCACCTCCTCCTCCTCTTCCTCTTCCTCCTCCTGCTCCTCCTCCTTCTCATCATCCCCCTCCTTTACATGTAGCCAGTCGCTGGCGGACGTGAGGTCGCGGTAGAAGGCGCCCGCCTCGAAGTTCACGCCGTGGCAGCGCAGCGTGCGCGGCGCGGCGAGGGGCTCGACCCCGGGGCCCTCGCTGCGGAGGCCGTAGGTGCGGCCGCCGACGCTGCAGGCCTTGTACTCCTCGGAGCGTCCAACAGACAAGACAAGACAAGACAAGACAAGGCAAGACTCGAAGAAGAAAAAACAGCGCAAACAGAAACTTGTGGCGCTCCGCGCGGACTTCTCGGATCCGCGCTGGGCCCCCCCGGCGGCGCCTCTGGCGCCGCCCCTGGCGCGCTCCGCGCGCCACAGAGGGGGGTTGCCCAGCGCGGGTCCAAGAAATTCGCGCGGAGCGCCAACAGTTTATGGCTATGGCGTCTCTTCTCCTCCGAGAGACAAGAGAAGACAAGACCGCCGTTCCCGCACCGAGGTGCGGCCCTCCGAAGAGCAGGCGGGAGGGGCCGTAGCCCCGCGAGGGCCCAGAACTGCACGCAGCCGAGATGCTGCCTTTCCACGAATGCCGTGCTCCACCGGGGGCAGTACGAGAGAGGGGCGTCCCAGAGAGGGGGGCTCGCAACTCCTTGCCCGAGGCATGTGGGCGGCTCTGGAAAACCTAAACCGAGGATTGCCAAAAAACCCAGGACGAAGGATTGCAACAAAACCCTTCGAAGGATTGCAAAAAAACCCAGGACGAAGTTTTTTTTTGCAATCCTTCGTTTTTTGTGCAATCCTTCGTTTTTTTTGCAATCCTTCGAACGGTTTCATCTCTTGGGGGCACATCTTTTACTTCCGCCGCCTTCCGACGAGCTTCCGCTCTCGCGGAGGCGGCACTCGTTTTTTCCTTCCGCCGACCTCCCGCCGCCCTCAAGGCAATGTTTGGAACGCCCCATGTGCGTGGCCCAGGGAGGGCAAGGGGAATCCGAAGAGGCGCGATGAGGCCTGGGGCTACATCGTGGCTCTGGCCATGGCAGATCCCAGTGGCCCAGGGAGGGCAAGGGGAATCCGAAGAGGCGCGATGAGGCCTGGGGCTATATCGTGGCCCTGGCCATGGCAGATCCCCCCCCATGGTCGTCACACCCTTTTGGCCGCCCCCGGGCTCCATGACGTTCTGCGTCAGCGTGCCGGTCTTGTCGGAGAAGACGTGCGTGACCTGGCCGAGCGTGTCGATCACCTGGCTCGTCTTCACCTTGGCGCCCTTGCCGCTGTCCACGTCACCGCAGCAGTAGTCGGACGACAAGAACATGCCCTGAACGAACTTCACACTCATCAGGGTGACCATGAGGGAGCACGGGACGAGGGCATTCGTCTGTACACTCCATGTGGCCCAGTGGACGATGAGCTGATAGGAAGGATGGTACGATGGCGCAGGTCTCAAATACCACGGCGTCAATCCCATATGCGAAAACGCGTTACCAACAGATAGCGTAATGCACAAACACATTTGAACGCTGAATATCAACATCATGACCTTCTGCAGCTTCTTGTCCAGCGAGCTTGTCTTGAACACAGCGCCTTTCGCCTTAAACGGGAGCACAGAGCATCAGGCGACTGACATTGACACAACTACGCCGCCATTTGACATGTCAACGGGCTGTCTCACACACTTCCTTCATTCGGGAGAAAGACGCTGGTCAGGAAAGCGTTCAACAACAAAAAAATCTAATCCGCATAGTCCTGAATGCCGAATGATACACCCAGAGATACGCCCAGACACACCAGACACAGACTGAAAGTGAGCCGCTCCCGGGCGCCTCGAGGGCCCGAGTCGAGAGCACGCGATGAGCAGCCACAGCGATTCAAAATCCCACCCGGACCCCTCTCCGATCCTGCTGGGGAGCCACAGGTCCATTTCGATCGCTGATGCATGGGGGGGAGGCGCGTGGAGGAGGGCGGCGCAACAGGATCAGGCAGGCATCGAGCGTGCGGCGGAGTGGCGTGGAGTGGGACGCGCAGAGACACACTAGTACATACTGTATGTCCTCCTTGGAGACGTGCGTCCGACCCCAACATACAGTATCCCCATCTCGTAGTATATCCTCTCGTCGACCGCGCCCGTTCCGATCGCTGATGCGTCGGCGATGCGGCGCGACCCTCCGACCCCACCTGCTCGGACCCCGCGCAGGAAGGCCTCGGTTCTCGGCTCCGCGGCCCGCCTCCTCGGTCAGCCCACACAAGACATTCCGCAGGAGACCCAACCCTGAGACCCCAGGACGTCCAGAGACCCTTGGCGTGGGCACAGCAACAAGAACCATCGAAGCCCAAGACACCCGGGGCACCCTGGAGGCAAGCAGGAGGCTTCTCGGCGTGGGCTTGCACGGTGGCGCACTTCGCTCTGACGGCATCCCCGTGGAGGGCCTGATCCCTTCGGGGCCGCTCTGCAGTGGCGGGGGGGAGAGGTCGCGGCCCGGGGCGCGGAGGAGGAGGAGGAGGAGGAGGAGGAGGAGGAGGAGGAGGACGAGGGGGAGGAGGAGGAGCAGGAAGAGGAGGAGGAGGGAGGAGGAGGAGAGAGGAGGAGGAGGAGGAGGAGTTGGAGGAGGAGGAGGAGGAGGAGGAGGAGGAGGAGGAGGAGGAGCAGGAGGAGGAGGAGGAGGAGGAGGAGGAGGAGGAGGAGGAGGAGCAGGAGGAGACCGCGGCCCTCGGAGCGCGGGTGCCTCGGCACGGGGCTCCGCTGCACCCTCGGAGGGCTGCCCTCGGCGCGCTCGCGCGCGGCGCCAGCGGCGCCGTGCGCGCGCCCCTGGGGCGCGACCCGCCTCGAGGCGCAGGGGGGGGGGGCCCTCCCGGCAGCCCCCAGGGGCCCTCTCGCGCCGCGGACAGCACCACGCCGGGCCTTTGTCCTCCGTAGTGTTACGTCGGGGGCGCAAACCTCAAGTATCTTTACGTGTCCCATGACCGAGCAGGAATTTAGACAATGTGCTCGGCCTCCATGGGGGCTCTTCCTCTCTTGCACGCCGGACGCTTCGCCGCTCGGCTGCCCCGAGGAGACCCCGCGCTGGTGCGGACCGCCTCTGCCCCGCCGCCGGCGAGAAAAAAACGTGGTCGGCCTCTGGGGCCCCTCGCCGAGCCCTGGGACCGCCGAGCAAAGCGACCCAGGACGAAGAACTGGTCCCCGGGAAGGGGCTGGGACCTCTGGGGGCCGACGCTGTGAAAAGAGTGGTGACGTCGGGGGTCTGGGATCCAGGCCGGGGGTGAGGTCGCACCCGGACCCTCCCGAGAAGAGAATCCGTGACCACCCCGTAATTGCTCCAGTGGTGTCGTTGACCTGCGCGTCTCCGCATGCGGGCCCCTCGAGCAAGGTGGTGGGGCAGTGTTGACCGATCTGGGTCGTGGAAATGCGCAACGCGCTCCCCAAGTTTGGGAACACGTGGGGGCTCCGAAGAGCGGGCCGTCGTGGATCCGTGTCGGGGTGCCCATGCAGAAGCCGAGATCCTCCAATGGGGGACTCGGGTGGGAGTGAGACGACCAGCAAGGTGGTAGAACACCACGGGCCCCGAATGCACTTCCGACCCGGGACACCTGGTGCAAAAGCTAGGATCATGGAACACCGACTCCAACACTACAAGGGCTCACCAGCGGGAGGAGCCAGGGAGGGGTCCCCTGGTGGTGTGGTCCCCCTCTCGCTCGGGATCTCACTCATCCCGAGCTCGGAGAGGCATCCTGGACCTCCTCGCTGGAAGTGGCCCCGTGGTGGTGTTGGTGTCGCTCCTCCTTCCCCTGAAAAGCCTGGCGATAATGACGGCGAGACCGCGCCATGGGAGGGCGCGGCCGCAGCCAGGCGCCAGGACCGGGAACAGAGGCAGGATGGAGGGGGGGGCCACGCCGAGGGGCGGCGTGGTCCGATGATGTGGGCCCAGGGGTCCCCGATCCCCCTTGTGGGAAGCCTGGGAGGTGCCACGCCACGGGATGGCGTGGTCACAGCCAGGTCCCAAGGTATCCTCCGCCCGTGTGCGCACGAGGAAGTGCTCGACGCTGGTAGCTGGTCAGAATCGGCGCGTTCCCTCCGACGCCAGCCCCAGCATCCCCGATATAGTGGAGATCAACCGACAGTTCCGCCAGCACCCGTGCAAGTAGAAACCAAGATGAGATATGACCGCCCGATCCGGGGATGACGCAGCCGAGCCCCCCGCGTTCTGCATGACGCGGGTGTCGTGTCCGCAGTACACCTGTACGCAGCGCTCGATGATTAGCAAGGAAGGGCCCCCTAATAGTTTGGTAGCGGACCTAAGTTGAGAGGACCAGAGCAGTAGGGATAAGGGGGTCTTCTCAGCAACTCCCTCAAACCCAAACACCCAGATGTATTATCTCGGATGAAAAGACGGGCACCTGGATTAGGCTGCGTCTTCATTGTGTTGTTAGGGTCATGGGGTTCTTCTAATATCGAGGACTCCTTGTCTCGACACTTGCGGCGCTCGGAACCCGGAAGGGCGAGCATGGGGAACACGAGAACTTCCGGCCCCCTTGGGTCGGCGGAAGAGTGGCCGAACCCTGCGCGCCCCCCCGGAACATCGACCACGGCACCCCCAACTCGTTGGACAAAAACGACGGACGAGCCGGCCGCCGTCCATCGGCTACACGCAGGACGGATCGTAGGCAAGAGTGACCTTGGGGGGCAAGGATAGGGGGGACTGGCACAGGGGGGGATGCATCGACCTGGAATCGGCGATACATCGCCGATAGATCGGCGATGGGCCCACGATAGTGAATCCGCACCTTCCTGGGCAGGTTGGGGCTATCGAGCCCTTACCGGCGATCCATGGGCGAGTCAGGGTCGATGCATCCCCCCCGGTGCCCATGCCCCCCTACCGTTGCCCCCGAGATCTCTGGTGCGCGGACTGCCGGTCGTGGCGTGCGACTCGACAGTAGGGGCCTGCGTGCTTGTGCTCGCCCCCGCCCCACGCCGAACGCCGTGCACCAAGGGTCGTCCCTCCGGCGACGGGTCACTCCTGCGTGTAGCCGAGGCAACCTGCTACCCCCCGCCCCCGCCCCCCCCAACCACAGACACGCAGACGCACACACGCACAGACACACACACACACACACACACACGCACACACACACACACACACACACACACACACACACACACACACACACACACACACACACACACACACACACACACACACACACACACACACACACACATACACACACACAAACACACACACACACGCACACGCACACGCACACGCACACGCACACGCACACGCACACGCACACGCACACACACCACACACACAACACACAACACACAACACACACAACACACACACAACACACACACACACACACACAACACACACAACACACAACACACACAACATACACAACACACAACACACAACACACAACACACAACACACAACACACAACCCACAACCCACAACCCACAACACACACACACCACACACACCACACACACCACACACACCACACACACACAACACACACAACACACACAACACAGACACACCACACACACACAGCACATACACAACACACACAACACACAACACACAACACACAACACACCACACACAACACAAACAACACACACAACACACAACACACAACATACACAACATACACACACCACACACACGCACACACACACACACACACCACACACACATTAACACACACGCGCCCCCCACCCACCCACACACACACACACGCACACACGCACACATGCACACACACACACACAGAAGAGCACCGTCGCGTAATCCGTAATCACGTTGTTCCGTCTTCGGCTGGTCTGCCCGAACCTCTGCACATCTCCGAAGTCTCCCAAAATCGCCCAGAAGTCTCCCAAAATCGCCCAGGACCCTTGAACATAACCCTCGATCCTGCCCCTGTTCCCTCTAGCGCGTGAAGGAAACCGCACTGCTTCTGCACAGTTTTCCTCGCCATCCGCGCCTCCGCTGTCGACATCTCCTTGGCCCCACCGTCGCCCATTCGGCGAGGACGCCCCAGCGTAAAGCCGAGCAACGGCTCGATGCCATGGGAATTTGTAGTCGCAGCGGCAGCGAACGCGCACCACGTCCATAGCCACAGCGGGAGCAGCAAAAACGGGGGGCGGGAAGATCGGAGAAAGAGGCGGGTAAGGAGGAACCCTCCCCCATACCTTGCTCATTGTCCTCCCTGTTCTTGCTTCCTTCGCTCTCTCGCTCCTCGTCGCCATCGCCCTCCCCCTCCCCTCTGGCAGCAACGGCGGCGGCAGCCCGATGCCGGGGAAGGGGGGGGGGACCCTCCTCCACCTCCTCCTCGAGGAAAAGGGAGGGGGGAAGAGGTGGTAGTGGCGGTGGAGCTCTGGGAGAAGGAGAAGGGGAAGGGGGTCAGATGGTCGGCGCGAGCTTGGAGCTTGTCGAGATGCCTGGCGTGCCACAGAGAGCAAGCATGTCGAGGAGCCCCCCCCTGCCCCCGTCGGCAGAAGCCTGGAGCTTCTCGAAGTACTTCGTGTGCCATGGAAAGCACTTCGAAGAGACGCCCTCGCGAGCACCTGCTGGCCGTAGGAGAAAATGGATTTAGGGGCCACCGCCCTCGCTCGCAGGCCTCAGCGCCCCACGCTTGGGGGGCGCCAATGAAAAGTGCCGCTCGGCAGCGTCCGGCGCACGGCCTCTTGAAACTTGTTGCGCGGCCGTCTGCTTTCGGCACTGGCATAGGAGTACAAGCGGGTTATTGCGCACAGGACGCGCGACAGGACACACGACTCTTCCGACGGCAACATGGCCTCCAAAACCACAGGACACAAGGGTACCCTGCCGAGGCCGCGACCGCGGTTACCCGCGGCCGACCGATGCACAGGACACAAGAGCACCCTTGATTTCGCAGGGCCGACCTACTAATGGAACCCGACTGTAAAGGAAACAGGGCCGCGACAAGTGGCCAGTGCGCGCACGCCCTCCAGGTCCGTTGGACAGCTGGTGAAGACGGGTCCCGGGAGTCCCGCTGGGAGGTGCCGCCTCACGGAGACCAGCACATTTGGGCCGTAGCCCCAGCGAGGCATCGCATGCACCTTCCCAGGCAGATGCCCCAGCGAGGCCACGATCGCCTCAGCGCGACACGTGTCTTTCGTTTACGTCGCAGCGCGACAGAGTCAGTCCGCACGCGCGCTCGGACGGCGTTGCCAGCACGACACGGAAGCAACCGACACCTTGTGACCCTCGATCTCGAGGCACCCTGCAGGCCTGGGTCCCGTAAGCGCGTCGATGTTCGAGTCCACATGCAATCACGGAGCGACAGTCCGCGCAAGCACAGTCCTCACAAGCTCTTGTCAACAGTGGCGGCAATCAAGCCCCGCATCTTTGATGCGAAGGTGTCTTCCGTTTTGCGCACACGAATAAGCAACTGCGTCGGGAGAGCACTTGTAGCGCAGTTGCCCAGAACTTTACGAATCGCCTGCTGCTGACCGTCGGCGCCTTTCGTCACGAGGATGCGGACCGTCCGCGCTGTGTTTGTGCTAGGGCGGGCAAGTCCTCCTAAAAACGGATTTCGAAAGGAAAATAAAACACAGTGCAAACAGACTCGATGCACGGGAACAATAGCACGAAAACCCATCACCGTACTGTGTTGTTTGACTATTATTGCATCTTCTTCTGTAGAGGGACATGTCCGAAGTAATGCTTGTGCCCTCTCTGCCCTTTTCATACAAAGGAAACCAGAAGGTACCGATACAGCTACCCCCCGGACCTCTCCCGGGGAGCGTCCTGACTAGGATTTCGAAGCGAATCCAACGGTACCGACGAGGGCCTCCCAGGAGGCCCCGAAAGGGACAAACAAGGGAAGGGTAGCGGTACCGGTGCCTTTTCCTCTTCTGATTTCGGAAGCACCGAAGTACGGAAGCACGCCCGCACATGTCGGGCTGGGCGAAAAAGGGGGATAGCAAAGGGGGGATTTGAGAACCAGCTCGCGTAGCTGATTTTCCCAACGCCTCCCGGCGCCGGAGGCGGTCATGTATCGAGGAATGGGCCCCTCGGTGAGGCCGAAACCAGCTACATGCAGCAAATTTCGTAACCCACCCTTTCCCTATCCCCCCCCTTTCGTCCGGCCCGAACATGAGCACCGTCTAGAGTGCTGCGGGTGCGGCGCCAGAGCTCCGGAGCGTCAGAAAGCGAGGCCTGCCCGTGAAGCTGGAGATCATGCACTTGAGGCTGGAGGTCGAAAACTGGTGGTGGAAGCCTGGATGGTGGTAGCTGGCAGTGATTGCTGTACTGGGCGAGCGGGGGGCGACGAGTTCGGAGGCAACTGCTGGGAGGTCTTCGCCGGAAGGATTACAGTCAGCCCGTATAGTAGGGATGCGCGATAAGGATGCCGGGGCCGTGGACGCGAAGTTGCAAGCTTTTCGAGCGGGGCGCGGCCAGCGAAAGCGGCCACGGATGGGCCGAAGGAGAACGATGCAAGGGTAGCCTTGAGAAGGTTGTCCATCCTTACTATGCGGGTTGACTGTAAGCCCCATCGGAAGGCTCTTACGCCGAATTAGGCCGCGGATTAAGCGGGATTGAACCGCATGAAGCGGAATGGAGCCGAATTAGGCAGCATTGAGCGACATTGAGCCGGATGTCGGACCAGGGCAAAGTCATCATTCGCCCTCCCAGGAGTTGCATCCGAAGGACAGGGAGGAGCGAGCGAACGAGGCTAAACACCGGCGGTCCGTGCGGGTGGCGGGCGAACCGTTGCCGGCGCGCGGGCCCTGGAGAGGACCCGTGGGAACGGCAAAAAAAACTGCCTGGCGCACTGCTTCGCTTCGTGCGCATCGCATATCCCCGCGCGTGGGCGCCCCACACATCCGGGCTCCAATCTACATATGTGGACGGGAAGGGGGGGGGGCACCAGGGGAGGAGGTGGAGTTGGGGGAGGAGGACGACTTGGGGTGGGAGGGGGTGGGGGGGTTGCAGGGCGGGAGTGGAGGACAACGAACAATGGGGAGGACGTGGACGAGGACAACGAGGAGGCAACGAGGCATCGAGAGGAGGACAGGGATGGGAAATAGGAGAAAGAGGTGAAAGTAAGAGGATGAGGAGGAAGGACGGCTACGACGACGACGACGACGACGACGACGCCGCTAAATCGACGACGACGACGACGACGACGACGACGACGACGACGGCGACGGCGGAGGCGGCAGCGACGGCGG